GTCCCGACGACAACTACCCCGAACTGACAGCTGTGCCATACTTCATGTCTCCGGGTTCAAGAAATATCACGGTGGCAGTTGGACAGACGGCGTATCTGCACTGCCGCGTCGCCCAGCTTATCGATACTGCGGTTCGTGGAAGGGGTTTTTGCTTTCTATGTGTGTTTGTGTTTGTGTGTGTGTGTTTGTATGTGTGAGGTGGGTGGATGAATGGGTGGGTGGGTGGATGGGGGGAGGGGGGGAGAGTGAGTAGGTGGATGGGTGGGTGGATGAATGGGTGGGTGAGTGTGTAAGATGGGTGGATGAATATATGGATGCATAGATGGGTGTGTGGGTGAGTGGGAGGATGGGTGGGTGGGTTGAGAAACAGACGGAAGAGATGTATAGATATATAAATGGATATAGATGCATAGATACATAAATAAATATAGATGTATAGATATATAAATAGATATAAATGTGTAGATATATAATTAGATATAGATGTATAGATATATAAATGGATATAGATGCATAGATATATAAATAAATATAGATGTATAGATATATAAATAGATATAGATGTATAGCTATATAAATAGATATCCATAGACAGATATATAAATAGACTAATGGACAGATAAATTCAAATAGATAGATAGAAAGAAAAACAGGCAGATTGATAGATGGATAAACTGACAGACATCTAGACAGATATATGTACAGATAGATGTGTGTGAAAGCAATACAGGGGATAATTCAGTTACATTTTGAATATAACTCGATCTGTTGACCTAATGCCAAGAATTTCAAAGGAAGACGAAAAATTAATCAGAAGAAGCTAACACAACACGTAAGAGCGTACAGAAGAGAGTTGCAATTTCTTGGGTGCATTTGAAAATATAAAAAATATTCGAGCAAATCTTAATCTGATTCATAATATCTCTATCTCTCTTTTCTTTTCTTTTATCTCTTTCTTTTTCATCATCTCTTTCTGTTTCGATTTCTCTTTTTCCTTCTCTTTTATCTGATTCTCTCTCTGTCTTTGTCTCTGACTCTCTCTCTCTCTCTCTCTCTCTCTCTCTCTCTCTCTCTCTCTCTCTCTCTCTCTCTCTCTCTCTCTCTCTCTCTCTCTTTCTCTTTATTTCTCTCTCTCTCTCTTTATCTCTCTCTCTCTCTCTCTCTCTCTCTCTCTCTCTCTCTCTCTCTCTCCCTCTCTCTCTCTCTCTCTCTCTCTCTCTCTCTCTCTCTCTCTCTCTTTCTCTCTCTCTCTCTCTCTCTTTCTCTTTCTCTCTCTCTCTCTCTCTCTCTCTCTCTCTCTCTCTCTCTCTCTCTCTCTCTCTCTCTCTCTCTCTCTCTCTCTCTTTCTCTCTCTCTCTCTCTTTCTCTTTATTTCTCTCCCTCTCTCTCTCTCTCTCTCTCTCCTCTTTCTCTTTATTTCTCTCTATCTCTCTTTCTCTCTCTCTCTCACACACACACACACACATACACACACACACACACACACACACACACACACACACACACACACACACACACACACACACACGCTCTCAATTCTACTCTCACTCTCACACACACGCTCACTCTCCTTTCCCTCCCTCCCTTTCCTCTCTTCTTTCCCTTTTTTCCCTTCTTCTCTCATTTCCTTCCTTCCCTTCCCTTCTTTCCCTTTCTCTGTTCTCTCCTCTCCCTTTCCTTTTCCTCTCTTTGCCTTTCCTCCCCTTCATCTCTCCTTTCCCTTCCACCTTTCCCCACTCCTAACTCATTTCTCTTCTTCCCTTTTCTCTCTCCTCTCTTCTCCCTTCCCCTTCTTCCCCCTCTCTCATTCCTCTTCCTCTCCCTCTTTCCTTCTTCTTCCTCTCCCTCTTTCCTTTCCTTTAATCGCCTCCTCTCTCCCTTCCCTTCTATAAACTTTCTCTCAACTTTCCCCTCCCTTCCCTTTCCCTCTCCTTGCTCTTCCTCTCCTTCCTCTCTCCTTTCTCTTCTTCCCCTTTTCTTCCCTCCCTTCCCTTCTTCCCCCTTCCTCCCCCCCCTTCCCTTCTTTCCCTTTCCTTCCCCCCCTTCCCTCCCTTCCCTTCCTCCCCCCTTTCCCTTCTTCCCCCCTCACCCCCTTCCCTTCTTCCCCCTTCCTTCCCTCGATTCCCTTCTCCCCCCTTCCTTCCCTTCCTCCCCCTTTCCTCCCCCCCTTCCCTTCCTCCCCCCTTTCCTCCCCCCTTTCCTCCCCCCCTTCCCCTCTTCCCCTCTTCCCCCCTTTCCTTCTTCCCTTTTCTTCCCTCCCTTCCCTTCACCCCCTTCCTTCCCTTCCTCCCCCCTTTCCTCCCCCCCTTCCCTTCCCCCCCTTCCCTTCTTCCTTCCCCCCTTCCCTTCTTCCCTTTTCTTCCCTCCCTTCCCTTCTCCCCCCTTCCTTCCCTTCTTCCCTCCCTTTCCTTCTTCCCCCTTTCCTCCCCCCTTCCTTCCCCCCTTCCCTCCCCCCCTTCCCTTCCTCCCCCCATTCCCCATTTTATTCCCCGCGCAAAAAGACAGTCTGATTGCCCTGATTCCGTCCCTGACCCGGAGCGCGACGCGGGAATTCTTTGACTGCGTCCGAGATTGAATATGTTAATGCGCGGGCGGCGGGCAGGCGGCGGAGCTCATTACGAGTAACTGGCTTTCACGCCCTGACCTGCCCGCGCCCCCCCCCCCCCCCTTCTCGCGCCTTGACCTGCCCGCGCCCCCCCCTCTCGTGTCATGACCTGCCCGCGCCTCTCCTCACACACACACACACACATGCACACACACACACACACACACACACACACACACACGAGAATCACAGCCGCCCCGCGTGACTGCACTTCCTAATGGCGTAACTAAGGCTGCTATTATAACTTGACGCTGTGGTCATTATACCCGCTTGAATTGCAACATCTGCAGGACGACTTGCCTCACTTGGCGCTCCCCTCGACCCCCGTATTCTCACTCTCCCCTCACTTTAAAAAAAAAAAAAAAGTGTCTGACTTTTATACTTACACTTTCAAACTTACCCTCTTCCAGTCCACACTTATTGTATACTTGTGTTTATTTTTTTCTCTTTCTTTTTCCCCTTTTCTCCTTTTCCCCTCACGTCTGTAAGAGTGTTGTCCTGATGCTTAAGAAATCGGGCTTTTCCCCTTGTTTATTTGTTTGTTTGTTTTTTCTTCACTCTAGGAGGGTGGAATTGAAAAGGAAGTTAAAAAAGGGAGAAAGGATTGTGATGCTGGTAAAGGTGATGATAATGATAGTGAGGATGCTGACTATAATAATGTTAAATATGTCTGTAAAGATAGTGTTAATGACGACGATAGTGACACTACAATAATATAAAGGGTGAAGAAGTTATCAAAAGGTAATAAATGAAGATGATGATCGTGATGGAAATATCAAACATAACATCAAAGATAAGAAAAACGAAACAAAACGAAATAAACATAAGGAAAAAAAAACAACGGTCCAACACAGCATGGTTTACGGACCAATTGGCTCGCCTGATCAGAATTCAGTCGCGATTCGGGGAACAAAAGTTCTATCTGCTCTAGTGAACACGAAAAGAAAAAAAGAAAATATAAGAAATGGTAAAAGTAGCTTCACAAATATTGTTCTTAAAGTTCAGAGGCTCTTGATGTTCAGTCGATAACACAGTGGACACCCGGTGAACATTTGTACCCAAGTAACCTAGTATGAGTTACATATGACCTTCGAACGAGTTTGAAATCACGCCGATGCAGTTACTTTGTGGAGTAACTCTTTCAAAAACGAAGTTAGTGTTGTTTAAATGCGTTGTAGGGTAGGTAGGCAACAGAGGCGTGAGGAATGAAAATTGTGACGTTATTGTAAAATGGGAATGGAATTGATTGCCCTCGTCGGTTATTTGAGCCAGGGAGATGGTGTGTGTGTGTGTGTGTGTGTGTGTGTGTGTGTGTGTGTGTGTGTGTGTGTGTGTGTGTGTGTGTGTGTGTGTGTGTGTGTGTGTGTGTGTGTGTGTGTGTTTATGTTTATGTTTGTGTATGTGTGTATGTTTGTATGTGTGTGTTTATGTTTGTGTATGTGTGTATGTTTGAGCGTGTGTGTTTATATTTGTGTATGTGTGTATGTTTGTGTGTGTGTAAGGGCGTCTATATGCAGTTCAAATACAAGTCCAAATACCGATGCAAGAATGATTCAGGTTCGCTTACAGCTGTGCACAGAAATATCGAAAAATAAGTCCCTTTTCGAAATTTTCACGAGTCTAAACTTATAAAAGTCACAAGCAGAAGTTACAGACAAGAAGTTCAAGTCCTAGAGAGAAAAAAAACTTGTTTCCATCAAATAAGTAAGACATTACCTATTTCCCAAAATATTATTTACGTGTTTGGAGGAAAAGGAAGATAGGGAAGGATGGAAAGTCAACATATAGAAAAAAAAAGGTTTACACACGCACTCACACGTGAGAGAGAGACAGAGAGAGAGAGAGAGAGAGAGAGAGAGAGAGAGAGAGAGAGAGAGAGAGAGAGAGAGAGAGAGAGAGAGAGAGAGATGGGGGAGGAGGCAGAGAGAGAGAGAGGGGAGAGAGAGAGAGAGAGAGAGAAGGGGACAGGGCGATTAACATAAACCATGAATATGATATTGCTATCATTATCATATCCACTAATATTATTTTCATATACATAAGCACGTTATTCTCTATCTATTCTCTATTCTCATAGTCTACGCAATGCACTCATTTGTCTGATTTAAACTGCCTCACATGCATGCATTATACCGCATGCATATATACATACAATATATGTTTATTCCATTCTTTCTCGAGGAATCCATCCTGCCAACAGACAGAACAGGGGCTCGGTGCTGATGTCTGGTCTAAGAACAAGAGATGGTTTACCCTCCACGTCTCCTATCCTATAGATATCGTCGGACATTCTTAGTGTGATAGTATTGTCTTGCTGGTTAGCCTTAGTTCTCACCCAAGAAGCGATTCTGCACTTCTATAATGGTAATCGATTTCCACCAAGGGCAAGATGGTACATCATCCCCATCTCCTGTTCTCATACATTAAATACGTCATCCATTGTTATCGTTTATCATAGTGAGATATTACGGCCCTGTTATAGTGACCATAGGAGGAAGATGAACTCTCACGAAACGATTTCTGTTC